GTTCAGTGGGTACCACCCAAAGAGTGTGGGAAAGGAAGCTTTTAGTTAGGGATTTCTTAAAATCAAAGCCATGCGAATTTAAAAGCAGGAAGGTAAGGGAAGAGGTGGTGTGTGTGAAATCATTTGTGCTGATTTTAGAAGCAGTGACCAAATGAATCATACCCAGATGGCAACACTGCTGAAGTTTTGTTTCAAACTACAGCTCTGATTTGCAAGCTAATGCTTTCATTGCAAAGCTGTGGCTTTTTTGGTAATTTTTTTTTTTTAATTCTCCAGTCTTAATTTTGTTCAGATCAAGTGGTTTTGATATATTTAGCAAAAATGTTCTTACAGAGATTTAAAAATATGAGGGTTCTTGATACAAACTTTATGCAAAGTTGTCAGAAACCCACTCTACTGGCTAAATTGTCAGGTAACTTTCTTTCCTGGGAGGAGGAACTTGGATATAGATTGTAGTCGTAAGATGATTCATGTTTCTTGCTCATCTCCCAACTGCGTCTCTCCTACATAAAATACAAGATGCAGTTTCTCCTAAAGATATCTGTGCAAGTCAGTCTCACACACATTTTATTTCTGTACACAGATAGGTGAACAATACAGATATAAACAGATTAAAATAGTTTGACAAGGAATACAGTTCTTAGAATTTTAGCTGATGCAGTAAATCTTCTGCATTTCTAGTCACTTGAACCAAAAAAACCCAAACAAGATCCTTGAGATTATTTTATTCTGGAGTTTAAAGATATATGGTTTTGTGCCATGTTTTGAGGATTAATATATGCCAGTCTCTTAAATATAAGCAGAATTTCTTTTTCTTTCAAAGGAGCATAAGCATTTTGAAAACACAAAACAATCCAGAATTGATTTACAGTGATTAGAAATGCTGTTCATATAGCCTGCTTTTTGGCAATGTGCAAGTGTAGTATCTGATGTGAAAATACTGTATTCTGAGCACAAAGGGTCCGGTTCTGTCAGCTTTCCATTCAGACAGTTCCATTAAGATAAATAAAAATTCTCAGGCTGGATTAAACTTTGCTACACTATACATAAATATTTTATCATACTAAGAAGATAATGAGTAGACTTTTTTTTCAAATGTATTAAAAAGAAGGAAGATCTTTGTTCTTTTTTCCATAAAAACATGGATTTTCAATGCATATGTCATTTAGTAATATGTCTGTAAAGATAGAAAGGATAACAATTTTATAAAAACCACCCCCAAATAATATTTTAGTATTCAAGAATGGAATGCATGACACTGAGGTACATTTATCCTATAAATTGGCTTGCACTGAAATTGGGAATCATCTAATATAATGACAAAAAGCTCCTCCAAAGGATAAAGTGATTCAGCTGACAAACTGGCAATTACTCACACAGACTTTTCAAGTCTGTCTTTAAATAAAACATTAGTTAAAACATTACGGTTATATGCCTCATGTCATCCACAGCAAGATGAATGCTGCATTACCTTCTATCAGTTACTTTCAATTAAAAATATTTAAAAGCATGTTGATGTAACTGGAAATACACGGGCTTTAGATTTTTGGAACAGTGAAATTTACTTTTTGATGATGACTAGCAAAGACTAATGAAAATGGTATATCAGTTAATTTGAAGGCTACAGAATTTTATTCATTAATAGGAAATCTACATCAAATACATACTTCATAACCACTATTGAGCATAACTACTGTAATTGCAGACCCAAATAACACCAGACTGGATTGCTTTTACTTGCCCTGTTGTTTTCTGCCCCATGGTTAGGTATTTACAGCAGTTGTGATTCTTTGGTTGCTCTTTTCAACACACAGGCTTTAGGATAATAAAGCACCATGGCCAATGAATATTACCAGAAGGCATTAATTCAGTCAGTTTACCATAATTTATTAGGCAGCACACAAACTAATAATCTGTTCCTGTGTTAAATATTATGACAGTGAAGAAGAGAAAGATCCCATTTTTTAAGCTGAAAGAACGTTCAAGGCAGGGTTTTCTGGAAGAGGCTATATATTTAACTTAGTTAATTGTTATGGTTAGAAATTAGGTTTGCACATAGCTCCTTGTACTTGCATCTAGTGTCCCTGAGGAAGAGAGCTAAACAATACCATTTGTACCTGAAAATTTAACTTTTTTCTCCCCTCAGGTATACCACCTGGAGTAATAACAGTCCTATGTCTGCCTTTGGACCTCAGTGTCTTAGACTGATATAGCAACAACCACACTGTTAAACCTGTGTGTGCATTCACATTATATGTCAATATCTGTGGAGATATAAGATTTGGCAGAGGATTGATAGCAAGCACCCTATCATCTGCTAAAATAAATGGATTGCATACTACTAAATCTTTAGGATAATTTAAAATCTGGATGTGAATGCCTTGCTTACCAAGGACATTCTCCTAGAAACTAGCCAAAATTATATCTCAAATTAGGAGCAATTAAAGTAAGAAAAGTGTATCTTAGTCACCACAAATTAAATGGGTATGAATTTCTAACCTCTCTAAGGAACACTGGGTACAATTCTGTGAGCAACACCTCGAGTTTGTGGCGCATTTTGAATTTTAAGTCAGTGAGGGGGAAGTCATTATTAGGAACCAGAAGTCTGTGCCATTTATTTACTATAACTTGTACTGGTTTTTAACATATATATGATCAAGGTCCCACTGTATTCTGTTCTTGTGTTAGTCTGTGTATGTAGAACTAATCTCAATCAAAGCTCTTTGCTCCTGCTCTCACCAGGAGCTGCATTTCCTGCTCACCTTAACTGCAAAAGGAGCCAGCTGAAAACCAGACCTGTCTGGGGTGGGGTGGGAGGAGTGTGCAGCTGGGGGTGCTGCCCTAAGTGTCATCCTCACACCCACCTGCCAGAAAGCCCCAACCCCATAACAAAAGGGTGACCCTGCTTTCTAGCTGCAACTCTCTCAATAGACATCAGTGGAGGAGTCCCTTTTTTTGATTGCTTTTTTTGATTGCTTGATTACTCCCTCAACAAGGAACTGGTGTATTTAAGACTTGGGACAAAATGAAAATGGAATGAAACCCCAGCACACAGAATTGCTAAGGGAACAGAAGCTGGACTTGGGAATTTTGAGTTTCCTCTAGTCCAGGAAACCTGTTTCTTGTTTGTAAAGGTCCAATATAAACTGAGGAAGGAGCGATTTTTACAGAGTTGTAGCAGCTTACAGAAGAGCTGAATGATATGACAAGGGTGAGTGGTTTTAAACTGAAAGAGGAGGGTATAAATTAGCTATTATAAAGAATTCTTTACTCTGAGCTTGGTGAGCCCCAGCACAGGGCACCCAGAGAAGCTGTGGAAGCCCCACACCTGGAAAAATGTTCAAGGCCAGGTTGGACAGGGCTTGTGGAAAATGTCTCTGCCCATGGCAGCGGGCTGGAATTGGTCCCTTCCGACACAAACCATTCTGTGATTCTATGATTAGTGAAACAAAGTTACAGCTACAGAAAGTATTTCTCTCTGAACTCTTCTGGATACATTTTTGGGCATAAAACCATGTACTAATACTCAGCAAAGATGAGATAAAATTGTGACATTAGAAACTTTTTCTGTTCTCCCAGTGTTTTGTAGAAGTTTTCAAACATTAAAATTACCTGTTCAGAATTCAGAATTCCAACTTCCTTCATGGTTATTAATTTATACTGGCTTTATTTCACCTACATGGGGTAATTTAGTATTCTTTAAATTTTTAATATCTTTTCAAGATTGATATTTATTATGTGTTTATAACATTCTGTTTGAATGCTATTAAGCAGTGTGGTAACAAAATAATGTAGTATATCTGCTACAGCATGTTCAGTAATGTATACAATTGTTTCTCTGAGAAAGAAAGAAGCTTTGCGTGTTGAGAGGCTCTAAGCAGGAGGCCATGCTGACAGAAGGGAATTTGGGATAGCAGGATTTCTTGAAGGTCCTCAAAAAAATCAGAATTTATTTGTAACATGTTTACTATAAATGAAGTTAGTAGCTGCCTCTACTAGCAGCATTTTTCCCATTTAAAAAATTCTCAGGAATAGTTCATAAAAACTCATAACCAATATTAAATTGTGAGCTGAGATGGTGAAGTAAACTATCAAAAGTGTTGTGTATCCAGATTACCTCTTAAGATCTGCTCTCCTTCTCCTCCTATTTCCCTTCTTTCTGTCTCTTTTTGACTGCTGACTGGAATGTCTGCACATACATCCTAGTGTCTATGGGGCTCTGTATGGGTAGTAATAAATAATTTTATCTCCAACTGATGTTCCTAGAAATGACAGCTTCTGAAATACAGTCAGTAATCTGACATATAAATCTTCCTTTGGAATCTCAGCAAATTCTACTTATCTTCTAGATTTGTCAGCTGCCTTTCAGATTCATGAGCTCTGTGCTTTGGTTGATGTATCTTTCAAACCACATGGGATAATCAAAGTTGCCCTTGTTGGATCCCATTAGACTCTTTTTAAGATGCCCCAGGGACCTCCACAAGGCAATGGACTCCCAAGGTCTGGTGCTCTTGAGTTGCTCATTATTCCTGCATGGGTCTCAGAAAAATGACTGTGCAGCTCTCTCATCTGGGAACCAGTGCTAATCCAGATGAAAATTAGAGGATTCTTGATTACAAGGTGGCCAAAGTTTAAAAAAATGATGCAAACAATATTGACCCTTCCAACAGTTTTTTTATTCTTGTTTTTTTTGGAGGGGGTGGTGGGTTTTTGGTTTGTTGTTTTTTTGTTGTTGTTGTTTTGTTCTGTTTTGTTTGTTTGTTTTGTTTGTTTGGTTTTTGTGGTTTTTTGTTTGTTTCATTTCCTTAAGCCATTGTGGCAAATCTGAGTGGTTGTTCATTTTATACTTCTGGTGCTTAACTAAGCACATTGTTCTAATAGCCCACCTAGTGCACTCTCTTATCTTAAATGCTAAGGAGACTGCTACAGCATGTAAAAACAAGGTTAAATGGGTAAATCCAACATGTGAATTAATGTATTCTCCATTTTTCCTTGTACAGGAATTTAAAATTGTGCAGTGGTGCTGATGTGGATTCCTGAGGCTCTGGGACAGGACAACCAATCACACAGGAGTCTGGCATTCATGTGAGTCTGCTGTTCTCTTGATGCCAAACAAAATATCCCCCAGAGTTTCCAGACAATTTTTAAGATTAAATAGAACAATCAAACTTAATTAACATATTTTATCAGTTAGATGACTCCAAATGTTTTTATGAGAGTTAGAGAGTACATTTGAACGATTTAGATGGTTTTCATTTCTTAGCAGGAGCTAGACCTTTATTTATGGTAAGTCAACATACCTGTACCTACTGAGATTCTTTTTCTACATCTCAAATGGATTCAGCACTTTGTAATTTGCTGGATAGACAGAGGTGCACAAAAAAATGCCTGGGGTTCTGTGTTCATTTGCAACAGGGCAGATGTGCTCCAGTGCAAAGCAACCTCTGGAAATGCTTCAATTTGATGTTATTGTTTCATTGAGGGTAGGGATTTGGAAAAAAGGGCTCCTTTGGCACTGTAACAAATGGTTTACCAGATCATGCTGGAAGTTTAAGCCTAGGTAACATAAAGATCCTTTAACTTCTTGATCTTAATCAGATACCCTCTCCAGTTTTATAAAATATGTGAGTGCCAGAGTGATACAAAGAGTGTTGTTCTCCTGTGGTTCCTTATGTTTGGTCCCTTATCTTCAGTCTCTTATCTATACATGCATTTGATTTTTTTCCCCTCTGAAATTCCCAGTAATTTTAGAGTGGAAAGCAAATCCTTCCAAATAAAAGGGTTTGGACCCAGTAAATCAAGAATAAATAGTAAAATACTAAGGAATGACAGCAAATAATACATGAAGCTTTGGGATATTGGGCCTAGAGCCAAAATATACAAGTGTCAAAGATACAAGGTGGAAGAACAGGAAAGCCTTTGTCATCTGCTGTGGCAGTTGGGGAAATCTGGAATCACTTTGTGTACTTTTATTGGCCAAGGAGCAAGGGATCCATGTTTTCTTGCAGTTCCCTGTATGTACTGTTTCAATTCAGAGTTTTACTAATGTGATCTTGAATAATCTGGAAGGAAGAAAAGGGCAGCCTGTTTACAGAAAAAGGGCTTGTGTGATGATGTTCATAAGGTGGCACCAGCACCATAGAGTGGACAGTGTGAGGACATATATAACCTCTGGATATTTTAAGAAAAATATCAGGACACAAGAATAGAATTTGAAGGCAAAAAGAACTCTAAGCATGCAAATAATATACTCAAACAATATGGGAGATAGATTATTAAGTCTTTTCTAGGAAAATCTGCTTCTGATAGAATAGAATGAGGGAAGAAAAGTCAGGATTTAAGCTCCTGAGAGTGAGCTATAAATGTGCTGTAAAAAATGGGACAGCTGTATGTGATTCTTTACTGTTCTTACTGGGCTGAACATGCATTAAATTAAGAATTCTGTGGGTCTGTAACACATCAAACTGAAAGCTTATTTCTGTATACTACAATAACCAGGTAAGAATGCAGTTACACATATAAATACATGCTAATTGCTATCAGCAGTTGTGTTTTGAAGATCATACATTTTTTATGCATAGCAAGCTGCTAAAATATCCTTGCTAGTTATTTCTGCATCATAGCAGCCCTATTGGAAAAGCACTAGCAAAAAGGTGTTCCATTTTAGGATTTCCACTAAGACTGCAATCTCCTGGTAAAGGTGCAAGAGGGATGTGACAGACACTGCATTAACATAAAGCTCAGAATACTTACTGCCTTCTGCTTCCCAGGGAAGCAGTCACTCAGGTTCCTGTAAAGGCAAGAAGCATAAAGAGACTGGGGTCTGTTATCAGCACTCTTGAGCAGAGCTGAGATATAGAGCGCTCTGCTTAATATTGCTTATCACTAATTTTGTGTGTGATAACTGAAGCATGAACAATATCCAAGCAGGAAGCAAACTAGATCTATAGCTGCACAGTCAAGCCTATCAAAATATATTGCTGAGCTCCTACAGGCAAACAGTTCTGCAGAATATCAGTTGAAACAGGATGTTCCAGCTCACTGGGCCTCCACTCACCGTATGCTTGTGCAGCCTTACCTGTAATGGCAAATAGCTATGCTCAAGGGCAGGATGAATTAAAAATTAGGAAGGGATGTTGGAGTGAACCTGCATGATATCGAAAACTGATGGGCTTTTTTACTTGCTATGCCCCACTGTGTTGTGAGGTGGGGATGATGAAGTCATGGAGTCTTGCTGAAATCGCTCACATGAGTGAGGAGTGTAATATTACTCTTAGAAATCTGTATTTGCAAAGCCATGCTGAGGAGATTACCCTGGAGAAAATCCACTCTTGCCTGTGTCTTCATTCTATGACAGTAGTAAGAGACAAAATGATGGTGTTGCTCTGTGCCTTGTCTGTTTAAACCAGAAATGTTCTCTCTTCTAAGCTTATCCTGTATACGAGGAATCATATTTGTTTTGACCCATGTACAGGCAAACATTTTCTCTGAGAACATTGGATGCAGGGTGGGATTTTGTGACAGTCCCTGCATCCTTCATGCACCTGTGTTAGCTGTGGGTTACAAACCTTACACTGGTGAAGAGTATAAAAACACTGTCTGGTTTTAAAGCATATCCTAAGGATCATTGTGATTTTTTTTCTGTTTCTAGTGTGAGGAAGCACTAAGCAGTATGCCCAAAGGAAAATAGTAACATTTTGGTTTATAATAATGTGTTGAATGCATGATTTTTTTTTACATGGTCACATGTAACTACAAACTATTCTTCTGGGAATTATTGCACAAATGCTGCAATTCTACTATTGTGAGGACACACATGCAGTTTATATTTCCCTGTTCTTTTAGTAGCAAAAAGTCTGTGACTACTCTTAGAGGAAGTAATTGAAAAAATTTAGCTAGTTGGAGTGTCTATTAATGTAATATTTTTCCTATGTATAATGCTAAGTAATATTTACAAAGTTTCAAGGCTTGAGGACTGTGGTACAAACAGACCCAGCAACACCTAATAGTTTTGAAATTTCAAGTTAGTTTTTCTTCTTATAAGCAAAGAGATATCGCTGTGTGTTTACCTAATTTCCCTTTTTATTTGATTTTTATCAAATCAATTTTATCTGAGGGCATGGGCCCCAGCATCTCCTGAGAACCTTGGTGCTGCTCTCCATAAGGTTGGAACTGAGCTACCGCTGAAGTGTTAAAAATTGAAAGAAAAAATTCACAAGGCAAAGGGAACAGGGGTGTTGTCTCCCTTTGGTGTGTGCTCCAGTCATTGCACTGTAACACCCCTATGTCTTGCTGTGAGTTAAACATAATTTTGCCATGGGCAGATAATCTCCACAAAGATTCTTCCCTGTTGGTGGGTGGTTTGGGAATCCAGCTGGGGAGAGGGTCCAGGTAGGATTGTCATGAGCTGCCTGTGAAATCTGTTCAGTAAATGGGGTTCTATACCCAATGTTGGTCTGGTTAAACAAGATCTCGGGCTGTACAGGTGTAGTGTTAGACAGCACATTTTCCCCATAAAATATTTTTCTCTTTTTATTCTAAAAAATCAATGTTTTTATGATTAATCTTGATGCCAATGACAGTTTTTTTCCTCTTTAAATGTGTCTTTCTTGTAATACTGAAGGAAATAACAAGCTGGTGCCAAGTGCAAGTCAAATAAATGGGCAATTGCTAAGGCAAAATACTAGCAACTTCTGTAAAATAATATGCCATTAAGAGCATTTTATTTTGACTATAAATGGCAATAATTATTCTTTTATTAATATTTCAGAAGACTAGGAGAGGTTATTGGGACAGGATGAGATCGGAAATTGTTCAATTTAACTGTACTTTCTTCACATTAGAAACTCTGGCAATGCCATTTTCCTTTTTAAAGAACAATTTGTAATTTCTGTCCAAATAATTAGTTTGAGAAGTATGATGTATCTTGTGATACCAGTTACAACTTCATCATTCTAATATGTGCATGTATAAACCAGCATACATGCATGGAAATAAACTTATGGAGCAACTGGTAGTGCAAAAAAGCATCCAAAGTAAGTTTCTAACAGAGCTCTGTAGGCCATGGCATGAATTTCATGCTTGGTGAAAATCTTGTGTAGCTCAAACCATCTTGATAACCAGAATAAAATTATGAATTTGTTCTCATTAATTAAACATATTACCTAAATATTGTGTTGGATTATGAATACTCTCATATCTTTGCTGTTTTCCATTTCTGTGTTGTGAAAAGGCTTACAGAGCAAGAGATGTGTTTTGAAGGGGAAAGAATTAGAAAATACTTTGAAAATGTTAAGGAAAACATTTCATATAGTTCCTTTATCCTAAGAGCAAAATTACAATGCACTTAAGAGAAAAGAAAATGTCAGTAAAAACAACAAAAACAATATTAATAATGACCCCTAAAAGATTTGAAAGCAGGCAGGTTAATCTTTTTATTTTTCAATACACCTGTCTGAACTCCAGCACAAAGTAATTAATTACAGGTTCTGGTACAGAAATGCCTCACATATCAACTTTGGATGTCTGCCTTTTCATAACATACTAATTACTCCTTTTTTACACTGTGACTTTGTTAAAATGTGGAGGGTGGTAGAACAATGTTGACATTTCAAAGGGCTGGACTTACATTCCCTGATAATTCACTGGAGTCACACAAAATACTTTCCTTAATTACCACACAAAAGCAACACGTTTTCCAAGCTGCCTTGCTCTATAGATGTATTAAAAAGCCTTAGCTTATTTAAGTGGTGAGGTTTTCTTCTCTGAGTAGTTTGGGGATGTTTATTTACTAAGAAAAGCTGTTACATCCCACTGCTGCTGCTGACAGGCTGTGCACAAGAGGGACTGCACAAGTCTTCCCTGACTTCAGCCTTCCTTCTGATGTCCAGTTGCCCTCTGGGTAACTGAGTTTCTGTCCAGATTCTTTAGGATCAGAATCTTCTAGAATTAACAGATTTTGGCAACTTGGCCAACTCATTCCCCTACCTTCTCTGACTCCACTTGTGCATGTGAAGTTTTCCACTGACATTTTCACTGGGGAAAAAAAAAAAAAAGATCAATTTAACATTTGAAGTAGAGGAGTTTCTATAAAAAGGGAGGAAAGATAATGTGTCATTGCCAGATTTTGAGAACATCCACTCCTTAATGCTGAAGAATGTAGGTTAACTGTGGAAACCTGAACTGAGATCACCTCGGTGTTTTTTCCTATAGAGAGTTTCTACAGGTGTGTGTGTGGGGGGGTGTATTTTTCATATTGTTTCCTGAAGGTGCTAAGATTTGTGTTTCATAAGTTCGATGACTTCCTCTCTAATCAGAGTAAAGGGTGTTTTCTAGAAAGGGTGGAACTTTGTTGAGAGCCTGATTGATAGCATTTTATTAATTCAAGTTGTAAGAAATAAACCATGTTATATCTGGTGGTGCAGCTAGGGCTACATGCATTAGGCAAACACAAGACAAAGCTAAGCATGTTATCACTTCCAAAATAAAAAAACTCAAAGAGCAATCCATAAATTATATGAAATCTATGAAGGCATTATGTGTTTATACAATATTAGATTTATTGTTGAAGTATAAATGTTACTTTAATGTTCTAGATGTCTTTAATTTTAATTTATCTGTTAGATATTTAGATAACATTGAAAAATCCCTTATAAAATGGATTTTGTTATGGCCTGAAGATGCAACTTATCACAGGTAAGTAGAAAATTGCATTGATCTCTGCTGTAGATAAGGAGACTGCCATGTCACATGAAAAACCACTGAGCACAATTCAAACATACTGGGGAGTTTCACATTTGTTTTGAACTGAACTGTAATAAAAAAGGCAATGCCTGTTTGAGCAGGTACCTGGGCAAGAGGGCTCTGCTGGGAACAGGAGAGAGTCTGGAAATGTGCTCAGGGTCTGCATGGACCCCACAATCAGGTTTTGAGTGAGGAAGGGAGGCACCTGCTGCACTGATGCCCTCGTAAAGGCTTGGGGCCTCTCACTGCTCAGTGCATGCCAGGGAGCAGAGCAGCTCTGTTTGCTGCTGTCCCCCATCCTGCCATGGAGCTGGTGCAGTGAGTGGGACACTGCACAGCACCCCTGGGAGCCTGGCCTCTGACCAGGGAGGGTGAGCCTGGTGCTCCTGGCAAAGGATGCTCCTTGCTAAGAATGTTATTTAGAGTATCAAGGGACTGAGCAAGCACACTTGTCTTACTGTGCTAGATGAAGAGCTATTACCAAAAATGAAGTATGTTGGCACATTGTGAAATGGTAGCACTTAAAAGATGAGCAGGATTTGTGTTCCAGAGAGTCAACATCAGGTACAAGTGCATGCATATGGTGTGCCTAAGTGGCTGCTTAGTCATTCAGGAGGAAAGTGGAGGAGATTGAGTTACCCATAGCAAAGGAAGGCTTTGCTCAGACCTTCTTCTTGCTGTGAGAGGCTGCAGGTTTTGGGCAGCCCCTGATCCTGCCTGGCAGGATGTTTAGTACTGCATATCCCCAGCCCTGGTGATGCAATTGGCTATAAGATGTGGTGACACTCACCCTTTCCCCAGGAGCAGACGCTGCTGGGGCAGACAGGTAGCCCTGCTAGAAATGAGTTGGGCATTCTATGAGTTCTTTCCTATTTGAGCATTGCAATCCATATAATGGAATAGAAATAGAAATAGAAATAGAAATAGAAATAGAAATAGAAATAGAAATAGAAATAGAAATAGAATAGAATAGAATAGAATAGAATAGAATAGAATAGAATAGAATAGAATAGAATAGAAATACCCCAAATAATTGCTTCTTGCTTC